CTCTTCATAACCATGCTGACTGATAGTGGGGACAGCAAATATTTTGATGCCCTGGTAAGTACTGCCATGATATGCCTCAGAGCTGGAAAACGGGGAGGGAGGGGGAATTAAAAATCAGGTGTGGGAGGGAATGCACACCCTTCTTATATGTGTGGCTCAGCCAGGTATGTCAGAGACCACCCACCAGCACTTGACTGACTTCAGGTTAACATACACTGGTGGATTTCTGCTCTCCTACTGTGTTTCCATTTCAGTTCCAGAAGTTGTGTAACTCCTCCCTGTAAAATGTCAATAAGCATCAAGTATGTGTTGGCTTCAGCAACCGTCCCTGTGCACTGAGAAAACAGCTCTATATAGTAACCTCCCATGTAAGTTCTTCTTCCAACAATGCTGGCCCAGGCAGGATGGGCTCAGGTTGGCTGTGGGATGCTTTCAAACATGTTATTTTTCAAATGGGACTAGGAAACTATATACATGCAAAGAGGTAAGATGATATGGGAAGAGCTCGCTGAAAGGAAGAAAAGTCTTCACTACCTCCTCTCCCTGGCAGGGAAAGTCAGCCAATGTGATTCCATTTTCTGCTATTGCTCTGGTTTTAAAACTAATCACAGCAACATGTTCACCACCTGTGCAGCTTTAAAAAAAAGAGAGAAAATCCCATCATTTCTTCATCCAGAAGGCAAAAGGGGACAGTGATGGAGAAGACAAAGGGGACGCTTCTTTCTAATTCCATCCTATACCCCACAGTACCTGTGAGATCTACAGCTGCCAGGAAATAGTTGTAATTAAACTCAAAGGGGCAGCTTACCATAGAGTAATGCAGGGGTCGGCAACCTTTCAGAAGTGATGTGCCGAGTCTTCATTTATTCACTCTAATTTAAGGTTTCATGTGCCAGTAATACATTTTAACATTTTTAGACGGTCTCTTTCTATAAGTCTATAATATATAACTAAACTATTGTATGTAAAGTAAATAAGGGTTTTTAAAATGTTTAAGAAGCTTCATTTAAAATTAAATTAAAATACAGAGCCCCCTGGACTGGTGGCCAGGACCCAGGCAGTGTGAGTGCCACTGAAAATCAGCTCGCGTGCCACAGGTTGCCTACCCCTGGAGTAATGAAAACTTTTTGGATGCCTGTTGCCAGCATGTTATCTACATGCTGCAAAGGGGGTGGCTTGAAACTGGATCCGGGAGCTGGTAGAAATAACTGCCTCATCTCGGTGGGATCTCAAGGTTAAGACAACAGGAACAGATCTCCCCGAGCTGTAGCCAAAGTTTTGGAGTGGGCGAGATGAAAAGTTTGACAACTTACTTCATGGCTTTGGCCTGTAGCTTTCAAGTCCTTTGGCAGCTACTGCTAGAATTTGTCATAAAAAGCATCGGAGCCAGTTCAACTGTGGTCACTCACTGAAGAACTTTTCTTCAAGGGATAAGAAAAGCTCCTGAATTTCTTCAGGCTGGAGATGTGAGGGGTAAGGATCTGTGAGAGAAGATTATGGTATTTAATTTCCTGTCCTTGATGTGTGAAGTGGATCCAGTGTGATTTGTGGACTATCACTATATCAAGCAGCAGAATAGCCCTTAAAATTTTTTTGCTGTGGGTTGTAGCCAGAAAAAGTAGGCTGCAATATCTTCCCCTCTGTATGTGAAGCTGTGGGAATGGATCAAGCCAAATACTAGAGGTAAATTCAATAGGATGGGTCTCTGCTCGCTTGAAGCAGTGCTGCTATGGGACACAATGCTCTTACAGGTGCTGGCAGTTGAGAAGAGAGGTAAAACAGATTTTTACTTTGAGTAGTCTTTGAAAACACCACAGCATCTTTTACAGTAATAGCGATGTTAGATCCAGTGTCCTTAGTTGACTACAGTCTCCCTCCCTCATTGGCCATAGCAGTTTAAACTGGCTACACTGTTCTTCCTGTCCTAAACTGTTGCAATTGTTTTTACAGGATATAGTAACACTATGAGGAGTCCTTGTGGCACCTTAGGGACTAACACATTTATTTGGCCTTAAGCTTTCGTGGGCTATAACCCACTTCATCAGCAGAGTTGAATCTGATGAAGGGGGTTATAACCCACGAACGCTTTTAGTCTCCAAGGAGTCCTTGTGGCACCTTATTGTTTTTGCTGATACTGACTAACGCTAACAGACTATCTTGTAGCTACTGTATTCCACTATACAGGAGGCTGGAGTTCTATGGTGGGTGAAATGATCCATCTACATTCAATGCGTTTGCAAAGCACAGTGCAGACATTTCTGTGAGCACAATGCTAGGGAACATTTCAATGCCGCAGTATCGTTCTGATGAATGGGGTAGCACTTTAAAATGATGTTAACAAGCTTGCATGTTTCCACTATCTTTCTGTCAATCTCTGTTACTCTTTCAAGAGCCTTCTTGCTGCTAATTGATTTCTCCAAGGCTTTTTTAAGTTGAATGTGGCAATTGCCTCTCTTCTAAGCAGCACCAGTCTTCCCTTCCTTTCAAAGAGCTGCAGGAGCGGAGAACTTTAATTGAATGTTCTTTCTGTTTAAAAACAATTATGTTAATCTGCAGCCACTAGTCTCTCTTTACAGCAGTACCCATTTGCCAGCATGCAGGCCACTGTTTTGTGCTGTAGTCCAATATCTGCCCTCCTCAGTCAGCCACGACACCAGCAAACACCATAGGATGATAGTCAAGAGAGAGAATGGCAATAGGTGCTTCCATAGTGGTCATACACAGAGATTTTTAGAGCAGGAGCAGATATATTTTAAAAAAAGATTCTGGTTTTAAGTGAATGAGAAGTCAAACTCATTTCCCATGACTTAGCAGGAGTAGGAGAGAGTGAGGAGGTTTTACCAGGGCTCTAGGCTTCTGTAGCTGCTTTTAGAGGTCAGGTCACTGACGCTTGAGTGCTAAGGCCTTGTCTACAGGAGAAAAGTGCACCACTCTAACTTAAATAGGTTTTTAAACCATTTTAGTTTAATGGGTGCAAGCTCCTGTTTGGATACTCTGATTTCAGGATAAGAATGTCTTCCTGCTGGTTAGCATCAGTTCATTAGGCATCTGTTTAAGTTAAACCAAAATAGGCCACCGAACTGAAAATAAAACCATTTAAGTTAAACCAGTGTGACTTTCTAAGTAAATTTAGCAGGCCTAAGTAAATTTCACATCAGTCAATAAGAGAATGTGTAAAGAATGGTGTCTCCCAGGGATCTGTACTGTGCCCAGTCCTATTCAACATATTAATAAATGATCTGAAAAAAGGGGTGAAGAGTGAGGTGGCAAAATTTGCAGATGATACAAAACTATTCAAGCTACTTAAGTCCCAGGCAGACTGCGAAGAGCTACAAAAGGATCTCTCAAAACTGGGTGATGGGGCTACAAAATGCCAGATAAAATTCAATGTTAAGTAATGCACACTGGAAAACATAATCCCAACTATACATATAAAATAATGGGGTCTAAATTAGCTGTTACCATTCAAGAAAGAGATCTTGGAGTCATTGTGGTTAGTTGTCTGAAACAGCCACTCAATATGCAGCGGCAGTCAAAAAAGCAAACCAGAATGTTGGGAATCATGAAGAAAGGGATAGATAATAAGACAGAAAATATCATGTTGCCCCTATATAAATCCATGGTATGTCCACATCTTGAATACTGCAGGCAGCTTTGGTTATCCCATCTCAAAAAGGATATATTGGATTTGGAAAAGGTTCAGAAAAGGGCAAGAAAAATGATTAGGGATATGGAACAGCTTCCATATGAAGCGAGATTAATAAGACTGGGACTTTTCAACTTGGAAAAGAGATGACTAAGGGGGGAGATGATAGAGGTCTATGAAATCATAACTGGTGTGGAGAAAGTAAATGTGTTATTTACTCCTTCTCATAACACAAGAACTAGGGGTCACCCAATGCAATAACAAAAGGAAGTGTTTTTTCACACAACATACAGTCAACCTGTGGAACTCTTTGCCAGAGGATGTTGTAAAGGTCAAGACTATAACAGGGTTCAAAAAAGAACTAGATAAGTTCATGGAGGATAGGTCCATCTCTAGCTATTAACTAGGATGGGCAGGGATGGTGTCCCTAGCCTCTGTTTGCCAGAAGCTGGGAGTTGGCGGCACAGGATGGATCACTTGATGATTCCCTGTTCTGTTCATTCCCTCTGAAGCACCTGGCATTGACCACTGTTGGAAGACAGAATACTGGGCTAGATGGAGCTGTGCTCTGACCCAGTATGGCTGTTCTTATGTTCTAGAATAAGGACTGGGAAAATCACAAGGATATGGTAGACAGACACTGGGCCAGGGGAATGCGATGTCATCATTATGCAAGTGAGTTGATCATCTCACTGATTACAAAGATTTCGCAGCTAAATTACTGTGGTGGGTTAATCAGTCTTGGCAAGTTGTTGAAAAGGCCAGGCGCATTGCTGTGGTTAACTTTAACGTTTTGTTTTTTTTAAAAGCTTGTCCCAGCAGCAGCACAACCTGAATAAGCTCAGAGGCCAGTATTGGTTCCATAAAGACTTCAGAGATGAATGGCAACAGGACTTCATAGCACAAGGCCAGTGCACAAACCAAGCACTTTAAAGTCAGAGGCATCCCAGTTCCAGTGGGCAATGCCATGAACTACCGCAAGTGATAAAAATCACACCCTGTTCCTGGAAGGCATCATTGCTGTAACTTTCCCATTAGAAACATGAGGGAAGGGAATGGGAGGGTTGCAGAATGGTAAAAGGGCCAAACTCACAGTCAAAACCATTATATTATCATTGTTACAAGACAGGATTATACAAAATCAGGAGAAAAGGCCTCTCTCACCGCTGCTTATTTAAAGGCTGGTTGTTGGTATCACTTTTTTTGTTTTTGTTTTGAAAATCACTTCCCCTTACTTTGTAATAAAGTGAGGCTGATGGGCACAGACCAATCAAGGTTGCTATCGTTAAAATTTGGTTCCTTTCTGGCTCAAATTGGTGTGGGTTTAATCTTCTCTTTTTCTTACTGATTCTAGGGCGATACCCTGGAGCTCCTGTGATAGCTGCATATTACGTTGCCAGCAGGAGGCAGCCCCTGCTGCAATGGAAAGAAGGGAACAGCCTAAGAAGAAGAAGAAAAACCATAAGTTGACAGACCGGATTGGTCACTGAGATAAGGTCAATTTCCTGCCAACCAGCAGGCCCCAATCATAATGCCAGATTCCAAACTTTTAGCAGGTATGAAATATTTAGCAATTTAAGTCTAGCATTTCTTGAGACACTAGACCTTCGCATCTATGTAGAGGTGTGTGCTGACACGCATCTCTGGAGGTATCTGAGCACCTTGAGATGTTTCCAACAATGTTCCCTCTAATTTTTTCGCCCATGTGCAGAATACATTTTGTTATGTGCACCACAATAATGTGTGGATGTGTGCCACCAGTAGAAACAAAAAACCTAGATATAATATATATATTAAAAAGTTACCAATAGGGATAATTATTCCAGCTAGGACAAGTTAGGCATTTCAGAACTCACTACTCAAAGAATTACATTTAAGTGTAAGAGAGAAATAAAAATTATGAAATGCATACACCAGTCAAAAAAGTAAAATAACACACTTTGAAATAATAAAATTACAGAGAATATGTGTGTATTGCAGGAAGTACCAACAATTAACAGCAGCAGTGTTGGGAAGTGTGTGTCATAGACAGTGTGTGTATGTGTCACAGTGCAAGAGACAAAGGGATTCTGTGTGTGTGTGTGAGAGAGAGAGAGACTGACTGTGGGGGTCACTGTGGGTGGGTGACATTGTATGTGTGTGAGACTGTTAGACACAGAGACTGTGTGTGTGCACGTGAGAGAGAGGGAGACAGACGCACATACACACACACAGTTTGTGCGCTGGCTGCTGGGGAAGTTTCTGAGAGACGCCCGTTCGCTGTCTCTTTAAGGTACTCACTGAGAGCTCTCCTCCTCTCAGTTTCCGATCACCCGTTTTCTTCGTCTTCTTCTCCCTCTTATTATTCTGTAACTGTAGTGAGTGGTAGCCCCAGACATGGACCAGGACCCAATTGTGCTAGGCGCTAATCTCCAGTTTGATTCTGTAATGATTACAGCAGCTAATACCTCATGAAGCACAGAAGCTAGCAGTGACTTGTGCATACTATAAGCTGCTATAGAATCTGGGTTTGTTAGCTCAGGTAGTAGGTGCAGAGATCCCAGGTTCAATCCTTGGCCTGTCAGTCTCATGAAGGGGTTGAGTGATGGAGTGTCAGTCCTGCATTTGGCAACCTGTCGCACCTGCTTGCATCTCCTCTAGAATCTCAGAGATGTGGCAGAGCTGGGAGCAAGAGCTCCCGTTGCTCTGGTAGTCACTAAAGGCTGCTCTTGCACACCGTGACACAACCTCAGAACAGAGCCAGCCATCAGATAAAACTGCAAGGGAGGCTCGAGGCGGGGAGGCTGCCCCAAACCCTCAGTGACACCTTGACTCCCACTACCCCTGTTAAAGCCACTTCCATGGCTGCATAAGGGATGCTGACGGGAAGCATCTGTGTACAAGCTTGCTCTGCATTTGACCTGCACAATGATGGAGGTAGGGTGACCAGACAGTACGTGTGAAAAATCAGGATGGGGGTGGGGGGTAATAGGAACCTATATAAGAAAAAGACCCAAAAATCAGGACTGTCCCTATAAAATCGGGACATCTGGTCACCCTAAATGGAGGGCTTCATTCACAAGAGTTGTCGAATAAGCCAACCCTCTTCACCTGCATTAACTCCACCCAGTAGTTTTAAAGGTGAAGTTTACATATTTGAAAATAACCTGCATATAGTCAAATAAGCTGATTACAGGATTTGCACAAAATGCCACATGGAGCTGGACACACAACCTGGCAGTGAGACATTTGCCACTGCCCTGCAAAAGCACCTGTGGGCTCAACCTCAGCTGAGGGCCCCCCTGCTGCACATGAGGTGGGAGATCTCCAGCGTTCAGTCCCTCTTACAGCCAGCAAGAGGGCAGATAGAGTTTCACAGGGAAGAGACCGGATTGAGACAAGACCTGAATTTCTAGAAGAGAAAAGCAAGCAGGTCCAGGACTATAAATATAGCTTGGAAGGGGAAGAGCCATCAACCCTTTCAGGCCTCCTTTCAACATCCCAACACAGCAAAAAAGGGCACAACTGTATTCCTCCTGCCCTGGGCAGATCGTTCCTATGAATGCCCTAGCTGAGCCTTCTACCCTCATGGGTGTGTTGTTTCTTCTTTGGCTGGTGCTAGGAAGTGGGGAAATGTCCTCCCTGACCTAGCCAGAAAGAGGGGGCTAAAATTAATACAGAAGCATGCATGACTGGCTGCTGCCTCGCCCTTCTTGTGTTTTAAAAAAATACAACTAAAAAAGCAACCTGAGTTGACATCAGCTGTCCCTTAAGAAAAACGCAGGAGCTTTTGTAAGTTCTTCTTTAATAATGCGATTTCCTGACAACCTCTTAGCTTTGGGAGACCTAGAGAAGTGGCTGCGGCATCTGTGAAGGGCTGCTGAGCTGAAGCACAGTGAATTAGCAACAGGGTGTGTGTGTGTTTCTTCACTGAACTCCTCCAAATAACTAGCCATGCCCGAGAGCCCAGAGGGGAAAAATATTATGGGGTTCGTCCATACTAAATGCTATGTGACATACAAATCCAGGCCCAATCTCCCACCCTATCCTACACCGCACGTTTACAGAAAGGATACAGGCACCTTGTCGTATTAGTCCAGCAGGACACCTTCACTTTTACAAAAAAACAGCAGGAGGGGTCTATTTTATGCTGGTTAGGTTCTTATACTGCTCTCAGCACTGAAGTACAGAATGACCACACTGGCAGCTGCAGGGAAAAACTGATGCCATCTTTATCTTTTACAGCATACATAGACACAGGTCAGCCAACTAGCCCAGGGCTTAGCTACATTTGAAAACACAGACCAGTGTAACTAAACCCCTTTATGGCTTGTCTACATGGGGGGATTATACTGTTTCCATAACAACACTGGTATAACACCGCCCATGGACCCGCTTATTCCCTAAGGAGAATGTCCATACAAGAAGTTATATCAGTACTACTATACTAGCATGAGAATATCAGTGTACTTCCCCATGTAGCCCTTTGGTTCAGTCTAGTTACACCAGTGCAAATCCCTAACCCAGATGCACTTATAATGGTTTAAGCCTCACTTAATGACCACATTAAGCTAAACCAGTTTAGACCCTTCTTAAAGCAGTTTAGTTGACACAGTATTTTACCAAATTAAATGTGTCTTACACTTTAAGTGGTTTATCATCATTAGGGCCTAGACAGCTTTAGTTATGCCAGTGCAACTGTACGTATTCTTCTATTGACTAAGCCCTGATGTCTGGCCAGCACTGAGGAAGAGCTGGATGAAGATTAAACCCAGACAAACTACACCTCTACCCCGATATAACACGAATTCGGATATAATGCGGTAAAGCAGTGCTCTGGGGGGGCAGGGCTGCGCACTCTGGCGGATCAAACCAAGTTCATTATAACGCAGTTTCACCTATAACACAGTAAGATTTTTTGGCTCCCGAGGACAGCGTTATATCGAGGTAGAGGTGTATGTTATTGCCGATGGGTAGAAGGAAATACTTTGAAGAGCTTGCTGCCCTCAAACATCATCCTACATCAAGATATCTGCCCTTAAATACCCAAGGTAGGCTAGGAGGCCTAGATTCCTCACTGCTGTTGGAATCTCACATAACATTGGTTGCAATAAAATACACCCTATCAGCAACAGCTCTCTAGATTGTGGCCTAGGTACTAGAGTGATGGCTGCCACAAGAGCTGTGCCAGTCCGCTCATCTCTGATGCCTCAGTCATGCGCCTCTGTACTTGAAAGCATCAGCCTTGAGAAAGTTGCAACTGGTGCAGAACGCCTGTTCTCACTTTCAGGTGACATTGTAAACAAGAAGCAGGCAGCATTATCTTCTGGAAATGTAAACAATCTTGTTTGTTTGAGCGATTGGCTGAAGTAGGACTGAGTGGATTTGTAGGCTCTAAAGTTTTACATTGTTTTATTTTTGAATGCAGTTATTTTTTGTACATAATTCTACATTTGTAAGTTCAACTTTAATGATAAAGAGATTGCATTTTGAGCATTGGCCTGCTAAAACCAGGATTGTAAGTTCAATCCTTGAGGGAGTCGCTTAGGGATCTGGGGCAAAATCAGTACTTGGTCCTGCTAGTGAAGGCAGGGGGTTGGACTCGATGACCTTTCGGGGTCACTTCCAGTTCTATGAGATAGGTATATCTCCATATATTATTACAGTACTTGTATTAGGTGAATTGAAAAATACTATTTCTTTTGTTTTTTACAATGCAAATATTTGTAATAAAAATAAATATAAAGTGAGCACTGTACACTTTGTATTCTGGGTTGTAATTGAGATCAATATATTTGAAAATGTAGAAAACATCCAAAAATATTTAAATAAATGGTATTCTATTTTTGTTTAATAGCGCGATTAATCACGCAATTAATTTTTTTAATTGCGTGATTAATCGCAATTTTTTAAATTGCTTGATAGCTCTATTATTTATACAAATATACAGGAGGGAAAAAGCATAGGCCTGGTAGTCAGGGCATGCACCTGGGATAGGGATGTTCAAGTCCCTTCTCCAAACCAGGCAGAGCAGGAATTTGAAAACAGGGCCCTCTCCCACCCTGGTGAGTTGGCTAGCCCCTGGGCTATTGACTGTAATGCAGTGAGTCTCTCAGACTCTGATTTTCATGAGGAGGGGATGACCTGCAGTGATTTGGGCACCTAACTCCAAGAGCAGGCTCACAGCTGTGAATCCCAAGAAGAGATAAGCATCTCCTCCTAGCCCATAGCTGGGTACCTAATTACCTCTGGGGGTGAGGCTTAGGCCACAGACCTCTTCTCAGCATTTCCTACTAGCTAATTTAATCAGTTGCTGCTCAGCCTGCTGGCTGCTGTTAATCCCACTTTTAGGCACCTAACTCTTCTCATGCATTGTATATGGCAGCCAGGCACCTAATTTGGGGCTGATTCCACTATGCAGTAGGGCATTGCAGTGCTGACCCTGAGTTCCCTTTGTGGATTTTGTCCTAAGGTGCTATGGTGACAACTGCAGTGTAAAAACCTAAACAGAACAGAAGAAAGGGACAGAGGCAGACTGGACATATAGCTGCAGTGCTGGATATGACTGGCACTTAAATAACAGAGAGTGCAAGGATAGTTGTGATTTCTCCCAGTTCTCCTCTGTTGGGACTAGATGTAGTGCTAAGACATTTAGCTACCTGTAGCTACATTTAGCTACAGCTGAGCGATAACATTTACACCAACCCTGAAATTATGCCCATGAAAACATATGCAGCCTTGGGAAAAAAAATCAAGATCTTGGAGGATTACTGAAAAAATAAAAAAAATCACACCCATGTGAAACAAATTTTCAGCCTGGAGAAAGTCTTTACAGCAGAGTAGCAAAACAGAGATTGATCAGGGGACAAAGCTAAAACAAATTGCCCAACCTAAAGCACTGCTAAAAACGTCTTCCATGATGGAGTGTGTTTGTACCCTGAATAATTTCTATGCCAAGGTTTCTTTTCCTCTTCAGAAGAAAACGACAGCAGATGGAAAACAATGCTGAAGCCAAGAAAAACCTCGCTTGTATGGACTTTAATTTTTCCACGGGTTAAAATCCATCAAGGAAAAGGAGAGGGAAAGTGAAAAGAGTCACCTTTGCCCTTACTAAAATGAGACCTCACGCTCCGGTGCCTCAAACTGAACAGCAGCCTTGACATTTGGTGGAGCAGGAAGTGCTCTCTATACACTCCACTGCCTTATTGATGGGTTGGGTTGAGGCTTCCCTATTTATTTTCACTCCACAATATAACCCTTTCTTTAGCAAAAAGGCGGACACAAAAAGCACAGGATATTACACAAGAGAGGGCTAAGAAGTTGTTACATGCAATTTAGTAACCAACAGAGAAGGTAGAAAGGTCAAATCTTAAGAGACCATCCAGCAAACGGAGGGGGAGGGGGGAGGGAGAAGACCTGCACATCCACTAAAAAGATTCTTGTAATAACCACTGAGGAAGGTAGCTCAGGCCCCCAGTGCAATGTGCTATAAACACAGAGCAACTTCCAGCTGAGATAACTAGCACTACTTAGCGAGGAAAAGTTCTTTATAGCCCCGCTGGGAGGGCTGCTAGCTACAGGTATGGTCCATGAAGGTTGTGGTTTGAAGTCTTAGCTGTGGCAACATGCAGGGTGCATATGCTGATAGGGCAGAGAATGGCTGCACCTGGCCCCTTTGGGGACATTTTTATTAGCAGTGCCAGCTCCTGCCTAAAATGCTGGCTTTAGGACTGGGCATCTCTGTGGGTAACAAGAATATCCAGACTTAGAACAGTAGTATAAATAATAGTTGTAAAACAGTTTTGGAAGGGACAGAAATCTTTCTTCTTCAGGGCATGAGCCAAACTACTGGGACAGTGGGAGGGAAGGGGGCAGGAGAGGGCGGTGTCAGGGCATAGAATCATAGAATATCAGAGTTGGAAGGGACCTCAAGAGGTCATCTAGTCCAACCCCCTGCTCAAGCAGGACCAATTCCCAGCTAAATCATCCCAGCCAGGGCTTTGTCAAGCCGGGCCTTAAAAACCTCCAAGGAAGGAGACTCCACCACCTCCCTAGATAACACTTTCCAGCGCTTCACCCCCATACAAATGCAATGGCTTTTCCTAATAT